AGCTGTCAATGTAGTTACCGTCAAACCGCGTCATTGACGCCATTTCCATTTGTTGACATCTGACAAAGATTTTTAACTCACAACAATACAAGTTTCATACAACAGCATAGTTTGTAATAGCGTTGAACATGTCGAATTTTGTGCCTGGAAGCTACGATTTGCGGACAGCATTGATTTTCTGTTACCATTTGAAGAACACTGCTGCAGAATCGCATCGAATGCTTGTCGAAGCTTACGGTGAGCGTATTTTTGGTAAATCACAGTGCTTTGAGTGGTTTAAAAAATTCAAACGTGGCAATTTTGACGTGAGAAACGCAGAACGTGGAAGACCATCGAAAAAGTTTGAAGACAGCGAATTGCAAGCATTGTTGGATGAGGATGACGCTCAAATGCAACAACAACTCACAGATCAATTAAATGTGACACGAGAAGCCGTCTCCATACGTTTGAAAGCCATGAGAAAGATCAAGAAGATGGATAAATGGGTTCCACATGAACTGAATGAAAGACAGCAGAAAAACCACTTCCGAAATGCTGCTAGCCAGGTACAAAAGTAAGTCATTTCTCCATCGAATTGTGACTGGCGATGAAAAGTGGATATGTTTTGAGAATCCTAAGCGTAAAAGATTATGGGTAACTCCAGGTGAACCATCGACATCGACTGCAAAGCCAAATCGCTATGGACGGAAGACAATGCTCTGTGTTTGGTGGGATCAGAAGGGTGTGATCTATTATGAGCTGCTAAAACCTGGCAAAACCGTTCATACTGAACGCTACCGACAACAAATGATCGATTTGAATTAAGCTTTGCGTGAAAAACGACTAGAATATCAAAAAGGCAACACAAAGTGATTTTGCTTCATGATAATGCACCATCACACACAGCAAAAGTGGTCAAGGAAACGGTTGAGGCGTTTAGTTGGGAAATACTTTCGCATGCGGCTTACTCACCAGAGTTGGCTCCGTCCGATTACTACTTATTTGCATCGATGGGATCCGCACTTGCTGAGCAGCGCTTCACTTCTTACAAAAATGTACGAAAATGGCTCGATGACTGGTTTGCCTCAAAAGAGCAACAGTTTTTTCGGCGTGGCATCCACAAATTGTCAGACAGGTGGGGAAAATGTATAGCTAGCGATGGGCAATACTTCGAATAAAATATTTTTTATCATTTTCATACAATCAACGTGTATTTTCTATATAAATTGCGGTTTCATATTTACATACCTGGTATTATTCAAGAAAAACTAATCGACAAAAAATCTACGTAACATAAGTTTTTACATGTAAAATTTATAAAACTTATCTTTTTATACAAAAAGGTAAAAAAAGGCGCCAAGTACAAGCGCAAAACTTATTGTGTTATTTTTAGAAATTTCAAATTCAAATTATTTTTTTAAGGTATATATGTATATATAACATAAATATTTACAAGTAAAACTTATATAAAACTTACTTTTTTAAACAAAAAGGTAAAAAAGGCGCCACACGTATTGTGTTATTTTTAAAAATTTCAAATTTAAATTATTTTTTTTAAGCTATGTACAGAGTGGGGGTTATAAGTTTATAACTCGAAGTGTGAAGGTAGATTTAGTTAAGATAAACATAAAAGTCCCATACCGTTTTGCGAGATTCGCAATAATTATCGAGTTATTAATGACAGAAATCTAAGGAGCGCGCCGGCATAGATGATTTGAGAAGCGTTGCAGTTGCTTAGGCCGCATCGCGGCCCAGTCGATCCAGCAACTGTTGCCGGTGCGCGGCGAGGGGAAAGACAATATGCCGCTATTTGTTGTTTTATCTCGCTGGACGCCGCCAATAGTTGCTAGGTCGAGTGGGCTGCGCTGTGACCTGAGTAGTTGCAACGTTTCTCCAATCATCTATGCCGGCACGCTTCCATTCCTTAGATTTCTGTCATTAATAATTATTGCGAATCTCGCAAAACGGTATGGGACTTTTATGTTTGTCTTAACCGAATCTACCTTCACACTTCGGGTTGTAAATTTATAACCTCTCACCCTGTACATACCTCAAAAAAAGTAATTTGAATTTGAAATTTCTAAAAATAACACAATACGTGTGGCGCCTTTTTTACCTTTTTATTTAAAAAGGTAAGTTTTATATAATATGTCTTACTTGGAATGAATCGCGTGGAAAAACGTATTTCGGTCGTTATCCAAAAGTATTTTCCAATATATTATTACGGAAGAGGAATGTTATCGAGTATATGATCTGGTAAAAGGCAAGAAGCGCTCGATGATCGATTTTGGGTACCACGACGGGACGTTTGGCATATCGTTCCGATTCGATCGTCGCTCGCCGAGCGACTCCGTGGACGAATCTCGGCGAGGAAATTGCGTTGCCGCAGCTTCAGACGTTGATGATTCCGGCGGAATCGCTCGCGTTACAAAGATCGGGGACTAGGAAGTCGACCAAAAGATACGTCAACGCGACAGGCGATTCTTCAAAAAGCGTCAGCATCTTTCCGTCATTTCGCTCGATTTCCGACACCACGGCGACTGTCGCGTTCAAGATACTCATGTAATTGCGACGGTACTTGAAGAGAGCTTGTAGGTGGCCGTCGAAACCCGCTCGTTTCAGCATTGGAAAGCCGCGTGAATCCCCGCGGAAATCGTCCTAGCGGGCCATCTGTCCAAATTCAAATTGTCATTGTGATTTATTAGACGTATTGGTTACAACTATATTGTTCTACTTAACTTCTTGACGAATCGCGTTAGCAGTCCCGCGATAATTCGCTGTCTTATCGCTCGAATTCGCACGAATTCGGATGGCAGCAGCGTCCGCGGCGACGAGCGCAAAGACGGTGATCACCTTGCACTGAACATTGCCCTGAAAGGTCAAGTTATTGCAATTATCCAGATCATTTCGACGGAACTGTATTAAAATATTTCAACTTCCGCTGTTAATCTGTCTGAGTGTTGCGTCGCATGATAAACGTAACAAAGTGATAACGAACGTAAGGTAAGTAAATATGCGATATCGGCACATCAAAACGTCCGACATGTAGTCGCGATACCAACGAAGCAAATCGTATTCGAATATTAAGTAATAACGGCGGTTATCAAGGTTCAAGGCTGCGTTTGATCTTACATAATTTCCGCTTGAGGAGACTAGCAACCGTTTCGCAAAATAGAGGCGACTTCAGTTAGGCATCTAGCATCTATTATCGTAATAAGTTAACAATTTGAGACCGTCCGATGCGAGATTCGTATTAGTTGCACGTTATCGAAACTATTTTTCGACTTAATGATGATGTCAATTATTAAATATCGTTCGTGCCTTCCATGGATATCGCGAATTTTCCCTGTCGCGGACACCTGACGTTTGTGCTTCACTGAATTTTGAGTTGATCTTATATCGCTGGTTTCTTGACTTTTTTTTTGAAAAAATAAAAATTAAAGGAACGCATAAAATAGGATGATAAATGGACATGTGAATCCACATCACGCTGTCTTCGTCGCATTCGTCGAAACGTGCTCGCGCCGGCATATTTGGCAGAGACGCGTATTTTCAGTGATACTTTATGGAGATGTTGAAAGTGGCTTTTAATGCTGGCTCGTTCCAGCATGGGAATGCTCGATGCGCCGAGGTTGTTTGGAAATGCGCTGCGGCCAACTACCTACCACACTTCAACGACACGCTTCCGATAACGATAAATTTTCGGCTAGTCGTTAGAAGGAGTGAAATATCATGGCTTTGGATATGTGTGAATGCGGTTTATAGGCGCTCGGACGATGATAACGCGATTGGTTGCGACACTTAAATTGTATCACTTAAACGAAGCCAACGAAATTCTGCACACAAATTAAACAAGACCAATATACAAAAATAATACAAATAAATATAAACCTATACCTCTGCAAAGAAGAGGGTTTTCAAAATAAATTATGAATCTATTATTTAAATGAAATATGCAGTCACAAATTTAGGAACCACCGGGTAGAGATGCCATGCTGATTGAAATTTCTTGAATCCAGAAGAAGGAAATGTTCATGCGGATTCGTTTCCTTGTTGGAGAGAAGGCAAGCACGAACAAAGTATATACCTATTCTAATATCTTTGTCATCGTAAGTCATTTCAGAGGGGCAAAGGTTATATATGAGGAGCCTCGACTTCGCGCAGTCATCACGATCTAATCGATCAAAGTGTCAACGAGAAGTTGAATAGCAAATGTTCGTGTATAACTACCAAGGACGAAATGGAAAATTTGACTCTCGCAAATTAAATCTAATGCGTATACAGTCGCTGGCTTTAATCAACTAAAAAGTTAAGACCAGTTTTAACCAAGTCCTGCGATTCAATCCTGCTTCTGGCGTTTTTACACTCAATCGACCGTACAGCTGAGTACATTCTATTTTTTTTCTCTACGTAATGGTCTAGATTTTTGACTTGAAAGAGGAGAAATGATGAGAGTACAAAAGTTATTTCAGCATATTTACAAGGAAAAAAGAACATTACGCGTCTCGAAATGTATAGATAATTCTTTCATTTACCTTCGCGATGGGAGTCTCAACTTTATTCTTTTAATCCAACGAGCTTTTTACACTCGTGTTACGTCTCGTACTTTCACAGAGTTGTGTGCTAGTGTGTTGCGATAGCAATATATAATATAATATAATAGCAAGTAAATTTTGTAAACCTTGCGTGTCAGAAAGCAGAAACTCTGACAATGTCGTGCGTAGTGGAAGTATTGATAATATCGATGTTTGAATTTGAATTAGCGACCATTATCGAGAGTACGGCAAAATGTCAGCTAGATAAATCCCGCCATAGTAATCAGTCGCTCATTATCGTCCGGCTACACGATGAATATTACCTTCCTATATAGTTTCTCAAATAATTCCAATAACGAGACCGCGATGAAGTCGCACAAATTTGTTAAAGTTGTTAGAGAGAAATGTCACCTTATTGTTAATAGAGATTAAAAGTAAAGTTTATTTATTTATAAAGCCTTTATTTATAACATAAAGTGATTCCGGTATGGATTTATTTATTAGAACGTTATATAACATGATTATATATATAGTATACCTTACATAATATTCGGAATGCTGGTTAAGAACATCGGATGATCATGCTGTATTGTTATTTCATACGGGTCTACGATGGTGAATAATTGATACGATTAACCTGTGTCCCCGATTATCGAAGAAACGGTTATGGCAAACTTTGAAAATACTTTAAGAAAGAGCGAGCAAGAAATAAACAACTGAAATAATCGACTTTGGTTATGTTATAAGATATAAATCTGTTTACTGCAGCTTATAGATTTGCTTCATTTTACCATTTTTAATTTTATTTGTCTTGCATCGATCGCGTGATCTTTCTCTCTCTCTCTCGACTTTATTTTCACTCATCTTCAACTGTCTTTATGATGATATGAAATTATATGATATGAAATTTATGATATGAAATTTATGACATATTTCAACAGTTTATCAGAGCGGCCGTTCAGCTTTTCACTAACGTATTCAATTAAATCTTTGTCTTCTTTGTAATTAGTTTTCACGAATTCGTTCATCTGAAATAAATCATTCGCTTGTATATTACAAGTAAATTATATAAAATTTTGAGAAATAACATGTGACGCAACTATAATATATATTTGTGTACCTTATCAAGTTTTTGCGAGGAAAATACATTGTTGATAATAACGTCTAATGCGTAACGTTCTTCGATCCCTCTATAAATAGAAAATGAAATACATATAATTAGTCAATAAGGAGATAGCGACTCTTAAATTAGTGGAAAACTACTATTACCTGGATATTATTTTCTCCATGTTTGCTAATACATAGTCAAATATTGGATCTTTGTTTGCGTGCTTTGACAAAACTTCGTCATAGATTGTGTGGTACATATACTCATCTACTATCGAGTCGTTTACATTCAAATAATTGATGATGATCTCAGTATTTTCGGAGCATGCCAAGTAAATTAGAATCATATAGTCCGAATCGTTCATCTGCATTCTGTCGAACATTTTGTTCCAAGTGGACAAGCTTGCGTTCATCATGCCTTTACATAACGTCCACTCCTTCAGATTCGGCGGAATCCTGCGGTAGACGCATGATGAACAAACGAGAACAATATTGTACGTCTGTGCCTTAATCAAATAATTTGTCAGGTGCTAGAAATTCATGACGATAAGAAAATTTACTTGTGCGTTTCGGGATCCTCAAGATATTCGTCTAATTTCGCGGTGGCCATTCTTCTGCATTCTGGATGACCGAAATGGCATGCCCAGTTTAAAGCTGCAACTCTCTTCAGCTTCGTAAAGTCATCCTCGGTTAAACTTTCCTCATATCCTACACTCTCCACGAGACCGTTTACCGTTTCAAACAGGGGTTCCTAATATTAAAAGTTTGCATTAATCCCACGAATAATTTATTCTGAGCAAATGTGTATACGTATAATATATATAATATTAGACATCTTTAACAAGCTTATTTTATGTATGAAAAGGATTTTTTTGTCAAATAAATGAATAAATAAATAAATAAATTATATATTACTGTTTTTTGTCCTCTACCTTGAGAAACTCGACTCCCAGTATTTTAAAGACATCAGACAGAACAGAGAAAATGGTGAACATAGTATACCACGGTATATACTCCATTTCTTTCACCAGATAAATCGCGATATCCAGGAACGTGGAGAAATTGAGTTGATTCGCCATCAGGAAATGATACGCATCATTGATGAGCTGAGCCCGATTGAGCACGTGTATTTTCTTATAGTCGTCGGTATCGAGATAGTCCGCAATTTTCTTCCAATTCGTTTCATCGTAATTGACAAGATAATATCCTGTCGTAAAGTTAAACGATCTTATTGACTACCTGACGTTAGATTCTCTTTAGACTCTCTAGATCGTCCATCTTCAGATCTATCAAGAAATACGTCTGAGTATTTCTCTCAAGACGCACGTGAAAAATAGCGGCGAAAATTTATGCTTATTTAAGCGTTATCTTCACGCGTTGTTACAGAGAGATATCGCTATAAAATTATCAGATATCGTATTAACGGTAGCCAATGCTCACCTGTCTGTTGTAAGTTAATTATGAGCCAGTCATTCGAGTCAATCCCGCTAATAGTTATATTTTGATCCTGCGGCTTCAGCCAATAAGTGGGCACGGTGTTGGAGAAATCGGGATTCGATTGTGTGGTAAATGTTATAGGTATCCACCATTTATCTTGGTCGACTGCATCCTTTTCGTTGCTTTTTTCATCAGGACGGAAATGTTCTTGCGTCAGTATTACCTCGCCGGTATCGTAGTTTCGGGTCACGTGTACCACAGGATAATGCCTTTGCGTTATCCAGGTATCCATTACATCCTTCAATTTGTAGTCATTGTGCGGAACATCCGATTCGTCTAGGGCTGCTTGCAAGGCGTTCCACAGATCGTCGGAAGTAGCTGAGCTGAACTGACTAAATTGCAAAATATGTCGCGATTTGTGAGTCCGGCGAATGAACATTTTCACTGATATTGCATGTAAGACGTTCAGTATATCTTCGACTTTGTATTGGTTGTTCTTTCATTATGTATATTATACGAATATTATTTACTGTATCTTTATTTCCAAGCGTATGAGTATTTTCGTATCGAGCGTATTTTCAAGCGTTCAATAAGTATGTGGATTGAATCGGTATTAGACAGGAACAAAAATGCAATAGACTTACTTACTTACTGCGTGTTTAAATATTTAATAAGACCATTTCGAAATACTTTGTCTGTCACGAAGTGTTGCAACATGCGCAATATAACGGGTGCTGCAATGATTAATATAAATGCACATGGCTTAATTAATAAACAAGGAAAGAAAGGAGGATTTACGTCATTTACAAGAATTCGGTTGATTTAATTACTTCGTAATCGTACCTTTGCGGTAACTGGAGATTTCGAAGAGCGAGTTTATTTCTTCGGGACTATTGACTTCTGCTGAAATGGGCATTACTTCCTTAGCAACGTCATATTGGAAAGCGCTATGTTGCTTTTCGATCACAAAGAGATCCATCATTCGCCAATCCTCAAACATCTAGGATAATCATTTCGACAGAATCTATTAAATACTCAATTGAGAGAACAACGTTAGAATATATTAACAGCATAAAAATGAGCCTTTTTAGCGAAATCCGCTAATTGAAATCTAAAGAAAGATAATTTTGTTTAAAAACGAGATATAATGAAGATTCCTGACGGTGAAACTTAACAATTTTTTTTTTTATTTTTTTGATAACGGAAGTAAAGGTGGAGGGATGAATTAACCTTATCGAGAATATAACTTTCGAAGAACGACGCAAATCCTTCATTCAACCATATGTAGCTCCACCATAACGGGCTGACTACATTACCAAACCATTGATGGGCCATTTCATGCGCAGCCACCACAGCTATTCTGTGTTTTTGTTTCGTGGTATCTACTGCTTCATTATACGTAAAATCATCTTCTCTAAAATGATAACGCAGTTAGACACATATCGTCACAAAGTATCTCTGTGACGTATAAAATAGTAAATATAATAACTAATATAATAATAAATATAATAAATATATTAAATATACAACTTTATCACATTCTTATTTTCCTTCTCAATTTTATTACTCTCATTTGTTATTTTTATTTATTGATATTTCGTTGCATTACGTGTAAATAATGAGTCCCCAATTCTCCATGGCACCAGCTGAGAATTCCGGAGATGCTACGTGGTCCATTTTTGGCATTTTGTCAGTACTGTTGGTGTATTGCGTCAACAGCTCTCCACTTCGCTGAGCAATCTGCTGCGCCCATGTTGAATACGGTGCCAATTCCGATCTGGACCACATATTGACGGTTCCGTCCGCGTTAGGAATTCGTATATAATCGGACACCACGAACGCCACTAGATAAGTGGACATGATGGGAGTTGTATCGAAGTGAGTCCATATCATGCCGTCTTCGTCGCATTCGTCTGAATGTGCTCGCGCCGGCATATTTGACAGAGCCGTGTAGTTTTGTTGGTGCTTTATGGAGATGTTGAAGGTAGCTTTTAATGCCGGCTCGTCCCAGCATGGGAAAGCACGACGCGCTGAGGTCGCCTCGAAATGCGTTACGGCCAACCACCTACCACATTTCAACGACACGCTCCCGATAACGATACATTCTCGACTGGTCGTTAGAACGTGCAAAGCATTAGGGTTTTGGAAACGTGCGAGTGCAAGTCGCGGTTTATGGACTTTTGGACGTGTGTCGTTTTCGAGTGAAATCTGCAAAATTTCGCGAATGTACGTACATTATTTCCTCCAAGATGTTTGTTATTACGATTTGATTGGCATAAAATGGCACATGTTTTTTGGCATCTTGAAAAATTAATTTTCTGAGCTGGATTATTTTTTTGGCATTGAATATATTTTTTCTGATCAGAAGTTGTGAAATCACGCGAAAGAAGTAAATGACGCAATATGTTCGTTTGTTCATTCAATATATGGTTATTTTGGCATAGAAAAAGACGGTGATGAAATCTGATCTGGAATAAACTGCAGATGATATAAGATAATATAAATATTAGAAGGTTGAATTAGTTTTGGTCCCTAGCAATAAATGACTTCAGTAACAAGTTAACGGTTACACTAAAAGATTTGACATTTTTCTACGACATATGACAGTTTACGCGTTATTGTTATTGTTGATAATTTTATTGTTTATACGCGTCTAAAGTGGATCATACAAAATTGCATTTTTGACATTCATTATTTTTTTGTTTGATTTGAAGAAGTCAGCAACCGAAGCTTATAAAATGCTTGTTACAACTTGATAATCATGCTCCATCGTATTCTAACCGTAAATTTTGGTTTTAACAATTCAAAAGTCGATCAAAAAAATTCAAAGATTCTGAATTGCAAGCATTATTGAATGAGAATGCCGCTCAAACGGAAAAACGATTGGCTGAACTCAACATCGATAAATCAACCATTTCTAAACGCCTACATGCCAAGGGGAAAAATTAAAAAGAAAAGCCCCAAAAGAAATGGGTCCCACATAAATGGAATGAAAGTACCATTGCAAATCGGTTGAGTATCGCCATGTCTTTGTTTGCTAGACAAAAAAAGATTTTTATTGGCGAATTGTAACTGGAAATGAAAAGTGAATTTATTTTGATAATCCAACGCGAAAAAAATCATGGGTTGATCTAGGACAACCATCAATATCGACATTAAAACGGAACATTCACGGTCACAAAGTAATGTTCTGTACCAGGTCTGTAAATATGAAACCGAAATTTGCCCATAGATGGCCCTAGCTGTCAATGTAGTTACCGTCAAACCGCGTCATTGGCGCCATTTCCATTTGTTGACATCCGACAAAGATTTTCAACTCACAACAATACAAGTTTCATACAACAGCATAGTTTGTAATAGCGTTGAACATGTCGAATTTTGTGCCTAGAAGCTACGATTTGCGGACAGCATTGATTTTCTGTTACCATTTGAAGAAAACTGCTGCAGAATCGCATCGAATGCTTGTCGAAGCTTACGGTGAGCATGCTCTTGGTAAATCACAGTGCTTTGAATGGTTTAAAAAATTCAAACGTGGCGATTTTTACATGAGAAACGAAGAACGTGGAAGACCATTGAAAAAGTTTGAAGATAGCGAATTGCAAGCATTGTTGGATGAGGATGACGCTGAAACTCAACAACAACTCGCGGATCAATTAAATATGACACGAGGAGCCATCTCCATACGTTTGAAATCCATGGGAAAGAAGATGGGAAAATGGGTTCCACATGAACTGAATGAAAGACAGCAGGAAAACCGAAAAACCACTTGCGAAATGCTGCTCGCCAGGTACAAAAGTAAGTCATTTCTCCATCGAATTGTGACTGGCGATGAAAAGTGGATATATTTTGAGAATCCTAAGCGTAAAAGATCATGGGTAACTCCAGGTGAACCATCGACATCGACTGCAAGGCCAAATCGCTATGGACGGAAGACAATGCTCTGTGTTTGGTGGGATCAGAAGGGTGTGATCTATTATGAGCTGCTAAAACCTGGCGAAACCGTTCATACTGAACGCTACCGACAACAAATGATCGATTTGAATCAAGCTTTGCGTAAAAAACGACTAGAATATCAAAAAAGGCAACACAAAGTGATTTTGCTTCATGATAATGCACCGTCACACACAGCAAACTGGTCAAGGAAACGGTTGAGGCGTTTAGTTGGGAAATACTTTCGTATGCGGCTAACTCACCAGACTTGGCTTCGCCCGATTACTACTTATTTGCATCGATGGGACATGCACTTGCTGAGCAGTGCTTCACTTCTTACGAAAATGTACGAAAATGCCTCTATGACTGATTTGCCTCAAAAGAGCAACAGTTTTTTTGGCGTGGCATCCACAAATTGTCAGACAGGTGGGAAAAATGTATAGCTAGCGATGGGAAATACTTCGAATAAAATATTTTTTATCATTTTCATACAATCAACGTGTATTTTCTATACAAAAATTCCGGTTTCATATTTACATACCTGGTATTTAGTGGGCTATAGAAGGTGTGGTGTGAGCTTCTAAAACCGAATGAAACAGTTACGGAGGAGCGATATCAGCAACAATTAAACAAATTGAGTGATAAATTGATGTAAAAAAGGCCAGTATAGCCAGGGTAGCCAGCAATAGACGCAAAGTGATTTTTTTGCACGATAATGCTCGTCCACATGTTGCTTCAATCGTTAAACATTGTTAGAGCTCGAATGGAAGATTCTTCCTCTAGACCTAGCACCATCAGATTACCATCTATTCCAATCGATGCAACACGCTTTGGCAGATACACACTTCAATAATTACGAGAATGTGCAAAAATGAATGTCTGGTTGGATCGCTCCGAAAGACAGATCTTTCTGTCGTCGCAAAATTGCTATGTTGCCAGAAAGATGGAAAAAAGTCACTGCTAACGACGGAAAATATTTTAATTGATTACATTTAAATTTAACCATTTTCTTTAAAATAAAGGTTAAAAAATTGACAAAATAAGACTAGAATTAATTCAATCTTCTAATAATAAACAATGAGAAGGAAAATTACAACAATTACTAGAATTAATTCAATCTTCTAATAATAAACAATGAGAAGGAAAATTACAACAATTACTCACACTTTATAATCTTCTTCATTTTGGTATGATGTTCTGAAGAAACCCTCCAACTTATCATTCAAAATACCGACAAATTTTATATTCAGAGTGTAGTGTCCGGGCGACAGCTCGTCGTTGAAATTGAGATTCAAGATTTGCGTTACGTTGTCGTAATTATGTGCTTTCGGTGTGTAAACGACATCGTCACTGCTGACCAAAGACGTCGCTTCCTCGTCTATTGTCAATTCCATCTCATGTAAATGTAAGTCTCGCGTCGCGCGGCAAATCACGATATCAATGTTCGACTCGCCGTCGAAGGTAAAGTTATCTTCTACGATGTACGGTATCAACTTGATATTGTAGTGCACAGGCACCGCATTGTCCGGTAAACGGTAATTAACAGCGGTCTGTGAGCCATCTTCTGGATTATCATTAAAAGGGAGAGCCGTCACGATGATGAACATCATCGCGATCTTCAGTAATAGTTTCACAAATTCCATGTCGGATTTCTTCAATCTGCGCGAACGATGAGGGAAAGGTCAGCAAAAGAGAAAAAGGTACGTGCATTACACACTGTTATCGCGAGCAGTCATCGATTTTGTGCAATCATTACGATTTTAACGATCATAAGATTGATGACAGTCCGAATCACAGATATTTCCGTGTAAGTACAGATAATATATTCCAAAATATTAATATATTCCAATATATTCCAAAATCTAACGTTTGTCGAACTTTTTTGTCATCTTAAGTCCTCTGTCAAGGTAAGCCGATTATCCGATTTTAAAACGTTTAAAGACTCTTAAACTTGTTAACTAAATTATGATCGGTTTTAATTAAACTCTGAAATTCAGACTGTCTGTCATCCATACTTTTATATTTATATTCTTTATTCGATTGAACTGGAGCCGAAAGCATTTTCCGTATTTTCTTTGTCCATAACTAGTCTGATCTCGATTTTTGTACAGAAGCAGAGAAACGTCGGTTGAAAATAATTTAATAAGTCTCCGATCATGAGAAGAAATTTATTTTCGGCCTTATTCCGATCGATTTCTCAAGTTTGCGATATAAATACATATGTATGTCTCACTCTGTTGAACTTTTATTATAGGGATAATAGATGCATTTTGGAAACCTCGTGCTAGAAAGCAATGCTGATTGACGATGTTGCGCGTAACGGGAGTTTACTGATAATATCGATGCATGGCAAAACATTGGTGAGATGAGCCTCGCCGTAATAATCAGCCGCCCATTGTTGCCGGGCTTTGCGACGAGTATTACCTTTTCTCTCTAATTGGCCGCTCAAATAATTCCAGCAAGGAGACCGCGACGAAGTCGCAGCGGTCCGTTGAAGTTGTCAGAAGGAGAGAGATGGTATCTTGCTGCTCTGCAGTGGACTGCTTCTACTTATAACGTGAAGTGATTTCGAGGTATGGACTTATAACACTCGATATGATTATTCATATAATTTACTTTGCATGATATTCGATATGATGGTTAAGAACATCGGATGACCATGCTGTATTTCAAACGGATCTACGGCAGTGAATAATGAATACGATTAACCTATGTCCTGCATTGAAACGGCATTATATCGGACATTATACTTTGAAAATACGTGGATGTGTTTGAAACAAGCAGCTCCGGTTATGATATACATTCTTCTACCGCGGCTTATAGTTTCGTTTTGTTCTATTGCTTCCATTTCTTTTATCTAATCGGTCGTTTCCAAGATGCGTTTAACACGTATCGGTTCGTTCGAATGGGATCTGAATTTACATTCCAAATTGCGCATTCAGCCGAACTAGTGGAACAGAATGGTCTTTTTTATTAAATACATTTTACAATAAGGAGAGCCCGAGGGTACAATCAATCGATTGTAGCGAGCGATGTTCTCATGGTGTTTGACCTTCTATAAAAAAATATGCGCAAACATCACAACTCGGTTGTATCTCAATGAAAACTCGATGCCAAGTGTCACAAGGTAATACATATAATTGTTATAAATATCTATATATTAAGTAAAAGCTATTGTGTAGGGGTGGTATAAATAGTATGTATTTACAATGGTATCATACACAATTACGTAATTATATTATATACCTCATTAAAAATGTTATCTATGATTAAACAGTAATTAATTTCGTTAATCTTATAGTATGCAAAACGGATTTGAACCATGATACGTCGACAAGTGCGACGATATTTCGGTCAACATCGTCCCGAGAGAGAAGCGTCCTTCATTTCCTCTGAAAAGTGTACCAGGTGTATATCGTGGTCGTAACTTGAAATCGCAATTGATGTAAAATTGCCGAGGTTGTGATACACCGATGAGATATTGCACTTTCCTCACGTTCAACATCGAAATCACACGACGCGACGAATATCTCCGCGCCCGAACCGTTGTTTTTGGTGAGGCTGAGAGAGAGAAAGAGAGAGAAAGAGAGAGAGAGAGAGAAAGAGAGAGAGAGAGAGAAAAAAAAAGAAAGAAAGAAAGAAAGAGACAGAGAAGAGGGTCGCGGGAATTCGATAAATTCGACTTGATCGATCGAGGACATTGCAATGAGACGAAGAACTTCGGCGCGTGTGCGTACACGAGTTGTATTGGCTGATGTCTCTAATAGAATCGCGCGATTAGCATTGGAATAATCATAAGGAAAGACATCGCGGTGATGGAAGGCGCGGAGTTTCCACCGTGTGTGTCTTTATAGTTTTCCTTCAACCAGTCCGAAATAACTTCCTCGTGCTTCTCGATCCAATCAAGATTATCTTTTCCTGTTATCATTCCAACGAGTACGTCCGTCTTCACTTGATCCCGCATCACAAGAAGCGTCAACTGAAACGCAGAAATAGCCATGTCAACCACTCTCAGCGATATTATCATTGAAACATCGAAGAAAAGACGGAAAGAGAGCGGGGGAGGAAGAGTCCCGGGCGTTATTGTATATTTTAAAATTACGACGCGCAGTATTGATGATGACAGAGTCCACTACATCGACGTGATCTCCCCGGGTATTTCGTATTGCGCGAGATTGCGAAACATCTAATCAATACACTCTCAGATAAGATACAAGCGTGATCAAGGACGAGATAGAAATGGCGTTTCTAATTATTGGAACTTTGTCACACGAAAGATACGTTATCGCGCCCCGGTGTCCACATATGGCACTTGATCGCGGAGCTGCCCGGAAAAAAGAGAAAGAACAGAATTCGTATACTGGAAACGAAGTAAAACGTAGAACACGCGCATGTCTCGAGGTCAGGGCTCGCGGTGTACGCTTAATTATTGAACGGACAACATTGTACAACGATGAAAATCAAGCGTGGTCGATGTCTGGTCGAGAAACCGCATCGCGCAGAGCGGGGAGAGGGATTGCGTCTAATTCGATCGCGTTTCTCGGGGAAAACCGAAACTGTCCTGTGAAAATGCAGATGTAAATTACACGTGACTGGCTGTACCTTTCCGAATTGTTCCTTGTTGGTGATTCTATGAGCGAGGAGATTGACGTGCGTGGTGAGCTTCATTTTGTTTTTGTCCCTGTGAGAAAAACACATAAAATCTTTTCACTTATCCGCCGTAGCGTCGTAATGACAAGATAAAAGAGCGTAGAGAGAGACTCACTGGGAATGGATCTTCTCTATATTTTTGTTTATGAAATCCATGAGTATGTCGAAGCAGCCGGCGTTATTGCTGTAAATCGTGTTCAATGTTTCGAAAATACCGATGTCGGGCTTATCCTCGAGTGATAGATCGAGGAAGGTCTCTATAATCTTTTTAGATTGAACGCAACCGAGACCGTTCAGGATCGCCGCTTTCTCGCTCTCATCGTTAGTGTTCTTGTATTTTTCCAGAGTCACATTCCACCTGTGCTGGTCAGCGTATCGTAATCCGGCGCAAAGTATCACGTCTCGCAAGTCTGCCGGTAGCCTGCGACAAGAGAACGATGGTCAGTATGTGAATTTGGGTCTGTTCTTTTTAGCTGCACTGCTGAACTAGTGCAATAAGTTGGAGTGAGAAAAAATATAGTTGTCTCATTCTAACTTATTGCACTAGTTCAGCAATGCAGAGAACAGACTAACTAATTGTTGCAAGTGTCGTGTGTATTGCGATACGCGTTATCCCTCTGGAATCTTTTTCCTCTCTTTTCTGTCCTCTTTTCTCAGATAATTGTTGCTAATCTTATTGTTGCTTACCGTAACATGCTTATCGTGAACGTGGCGTGACTAATGCTAAGTAACGGTGCGTGTTTAACGTACTAATATGTTTAACGAATTCATTTAGATACAATAGGTTCTTGAGAACGACTTACTTCTTCTTGTTTTCCAGCCAATCCTTGAACATCTCGTCGACGTAGTTCTTGCAGTCTTCGAGTCCGTATCTGCAAGCCGTGTTGATTGCCAATTCCTTGCTGAGTTGGAAAACATGCGTCTTGTTTTTCGGTGTGTCCGTGACCTTAACCGCCTCCATGTATCCTTTCAGGTTCTGTGCCACGTATTTCTGAAAGATTCGACGAAGATTGGGAATTAGGAAGCCTCAGATTCGCATAGTTACATTCTCACTATTCATGGCCGCTCGATAACGAACGCGACAGTGGCACGTATATCTCTCGTATTCAGCTCACCTGGAAGATGTCGTAGTTCGGCATGCTTTGCAACATGCGGTCCATGTAATTTAGATTTCTGGCAGCCGCGTACCATGGGATGTAATCAGTTTCTCTGTGAAGATATTCGGTGATCTGCAACGCGACGGGGTACGACAAGTATCCAGCGCGAGCGAGATTCAACGAATCGTCGATCAACTGAGCGCGAGTGACCGGACTGATCTCCTCGTACTTATCCGAATTCAAATGCTTTGCCAAATTTTCCCAATTAGTGTCGTCGTAATTCACGCGGTAATATCCTGCAAAGAAGTAATCGATTGCGATATTCTTAGCTTGCACCTCATCGTCACCTTCTGCGCGATAAATTCGTGCTTGTATACGTGAGCCGAAAACTGCAAAAATGGTGCGGATCGTTGCTAGACTTTCGGTATAAAGCATTCGTAACATTTTACCGCAAATATGCACATGGAACATTAATATGGATAGATATTTGTGTAAAGTTTATTTATCTCGAAACGAGGCGTGCTAAAATCTTCGTTGTGCTGTTGATCGCTGATAAAGGAAATTTCAGACATAACATAACATCAATATCAGAATAATCAAGCCGTTCGATGTCACTGACACCATTGGCAGTGAAGATTGCTAAGTGATATCAAAACGTGGGTGTACCTGTTTGAAGATTATTTAAAATAATCCAGTTGGATGCTTTCAGTGCTTTTTTTATAGAAAACTGGCCTTTCTTATTCTCCAACCAATGCGTAGGTGCAGTCGTTTCGATTTTGGGCTTATCTTGCGTTACATAGTTAATTGGTATGAACCATTTGGTCGTATCTGCTTTCGCCGGTTTATACATGAAGAATCGTTCCTGGGTTATTAACACATTATCAGTACCGTTTTCCCTCTTAACGTTTACAACAGGGTATCCAGGTTGGTTTATCCAAGTATCCATGATGTTTGCAACTTCATGAGGTAATTTATGTTTCTTATTATTTTTAAGTATTTCTTGCATAGATTTGAAGAGGTCGACAGGTGTAACAGATTTGTGCATGCTGCAATTATAAATTAATGTAATTATCTTATTGCTTCAATGAGTATGTGTGTATGTGTGTGTGTGAACGCACTTATCAATTAATATTTATTTTCTTAATTGATGAGTGGGTTCGAAAGTACTAAGTAAACGTAATGTAAGACATATTTATTTAAAGTAATGTAACATATTTGTTTAAAGTAACATATTTATTTAAAGTAACGTATTTATTTAAAGTAATGTAACATATTTGTTATAAAAATAATGTAACAAATATTTGTGAGGGAAGATATTATAAATACAATTATTTATCATGTTATCCAAATTATTAAATATTAATGAGCATCCACGATTAGCAATTATTGGTCATGTATGTTTAAAAATATCATTTTAAAGAAGATTCTTTTTTGCTTAAAAAATAAATTTTTGTATAAATATTTAATAAATATGCAATAATTATAACGTATAACTTACTTGTTTTTCAGATAGTGGTTAAGTCCTTTTTTGAAAATATCGTTCGTCAAGAAGTGCTGCATCATGCGAATAACAGAAGCGGCTACGAAGAGAAATAAAGTAATACGTTAAAATAATGATAATTTACTTTTCTTATGTATGTGTGTATATAAATATATATTCTTCTCTCGTTGTAGGTAAGAGATGGGCTAAAATACCTTTTTTATAAGCGATATTGTCGAACAAGCTGTTAATTTGTTCAGCAGTCCCCGCGTCTTGATTCATGCTGCGAGTGTTCCTGCTCGCGTCGGTGACGAATGCGGACTCTTGCAGATTTTTAATGACAAATTGGTCCATAAGACGCCACAATTCTTCCTGCGTATTAAAATTTACTTTGATTGGCAAATCTATTATTTGTTAAGATTCTACGGTTGTTAGAGACGTATATCATTTGTTTCCTCTTTTTTTCCTAATACCAATTTTTTTCCACGAGAGTTCGCAAATGCTGACTCGAATTTCACGGTAAAATAAATCGACCATAATATTAATGTCATTGTTAGTCGTGTCTCTTATTGATATAAGTCTGTTTGTATTTTAAGTTTGCGTTAATTTTTTGATTAACATACTTAAACATGGTTTACCCAGGAATAAATACGTTCTTAGCGTAAGTTTTGACTGTAGTGAAGTACATGTACAAACATAGTTAAACATAATCACAGATACATGTATGGATGACTTTTGATCAATAATATTTTACTAAGCAAAAGAAATCTCGTGTTTTTAAATAGATTGTGCAATCCTATGTAAATTTCTTTTTTCTTATTATTTACTAAAATTAATTAGGAATTAGTAATATGTATTTTTATAATTACATCGTTCTCCGTAACAACACTGTCGGTAGTAAAATATTGGAAGAAGGTGGCAAAGCCTTCATTCAACCAGATGTACTTCCACCATTCCGGAGTCACTAAATTACCGAACCATTGGTGAGCGAATTCGTGAGATATCACCATTGCTATATCCTGCTTCGCTCGCGTTGTCGTAACATTTTTCGTGTAGAGAAGAGCAGATTCTCTAAAAAATAGGCAGAACGTTATTGTTAGAAGCGATAATAAGATTGTCACGCTCAACGGTAATGAATGTCAAATGTAGATTTAACTTTTTAACTACCAGAGAAAGAAATAATAATTGATACATTGGTTCATAATTTCATGGCAAATTATAACAAAGTTGCAGAGAACTTTTATATATCAAGTAAGATTTTGATTAACCTATTAGACGAATCGCAAATATTCTCAATAGCGAAGTCTGTTGTAGCTTCGAGTCTATCTTCAAACCGTGTAATAATCGCGATAAGAGATGTCGAGACGTGTCAATGCTTGAACCTTGATCGCTTCACGAATTCAAGATCTCGAATATTACCTGTACGTTACTAGACCCCAATTTTCCATAGCGCCAGGAATAAAATGAGGAATGGTAACTTGATCCATCTTTTGCATCTCCATCGAGTCACTCTTTTTCGAGGCTCCGCCATCTTTGTAATAGTTAATGTCAGTAAATGTCTCCAAGTTAGCCAGTGTTTTTTCTGCCTGCTCAAGGCTATACTTCGTGTTATCGATTTCGTCGGGTCTCGTCCATATGGCAAGATTTTCATTATCATTTTGTTTCGAGCTGTATTTCGATACTACAAATGCCACGAGGTAGGTGGACATTTTTGGCGTCTTTTCGAATTGCGTTGTCTTTTCTGAATAGTCTTGCGTTTTCTTTTCCTCTTTCTTTTCTTCTTTCTTCTTCTCTTGCATATTCGAGATTACGGTATAATCCGATGGATGCTTAATAATGATCTCAAACGTTGCCTTTTTATCAGGTTCATCCCAGCAAGGAAAGGCTAGTCTTGCGCTTGTCGGCTCAAAGTGGGTTGTTGCGAGCCACCTATAACACACAAGGAATGTATTATCGCGAGTGATTTTTTTCGTTTCAGACAGTTGCGGCTATTAAAGTCGTATATATTGTTTCGAAAAGAATAACTGCTGCGATTCTGATAAAAATGTGTTAATATTACGCCATGTAGCATAAAGTCTATTATATCAAAATTCACATGTGCTCTCTCATTTCACAGCGGTTTTTAGGAAATTTACATAGAAAGCGAAGCCTCAGTAATTTCCACTATAAGACAATTAGACGATTCCTATATTTCACGTAAGTTTACCGAGTAATAATGTTTTTTAAATAAAATCGATTCTACTGTACGTGTTTCATTTAAAGCTGACGGTATAAGATTTGTCTTCGATTATTGTAGGTGAATAATACAAAGATATATTGCTGTGCAAACTTTGTTCTCGAGTAAATTTGGAACGCAAATTTCTTGGCCGAATATTTTAACGAAAACATAATTGTCTGCTTACTGTTCCTCATCATCCTCCTTGTAATAACTTCTGTAGAATCCACGCATATTGTCGTTCAATTTTCCAGTGTATTCTATTTTCAAATAATAATTTTCAGGTTCAGGTGGGATATTATTCTCAAATGTGACTCTTATAAAATCTCTTTTCTTATCTTCTTCACTTCGAACTATCTTTGCCTTTACTTTCTCCAGCTCCTCATCCTTATCCTTCTTTTCATATTCTAAATAGACACTATCCGTATTTATATTCAGGTCCTTGGCATGTAATGTTATTACTTTTGTCTTCTTTGTAATAGCGAGAGTAATCTTAACGTTTCCATCAAAAGAAAACTTCTCTTTATTTGTTTCTTTAGGTACTTCCTCGAAGTATGGTTGCAACGTGATTTCATAGTTAATAGGACTTATGCCATCATTAGGTAACCTATAGTCCGTTGGAATAGGGTCATCATAGGGTATCGGTTCTACGTCGTCGAAGATAGGATCATGTGCCCAACACGTCGCCAAGGTAAGTACCAATGGTAGCAGGAATTTCGCGATCAACATTGTAGCGCTCTTGCTGTGAGTGGAAGAAGAACTTTATGTAGTCAGCGATCTATCCTATTGTTCCTGTTATGTAATATGAGTAAGACATGATTATCAACAGCTGCAAAAGTACACTCAACTTTGTGATATTTTTGTGCATAAACTGAGGGAATGTAAGTTTAAAAAAAAAATTCTCTAAAAGTATCGTTGACTGATTTAAAAAAAAAATAGGAAAAGAAGAATATCATATCACGCTTCAATTGGTACAGAAGCGCTTATGAATCTCAAAATCTAACGATCACTTCACCTTTGTTTAATATGTACGAAGAACAATGGCAAGAGAAGGCCATATTCAGGGTAGTTCTGCCGAATTTGATAAGTTATACTTTTGATGTTAGAAGACGATGTTAGAGCGTTTTCTCGGGACGAAAATAAGTCCGTTCGCGGACGCTTCGAATTTACCGGTGAATCGGTGTCGCGGACTAACGGAACCGGAGTCTTCGAAATCTGAGTTTCCTTTATTGTTCACTTGACGTGAATTTAGTTACACGACCCGTTTTAGTTTATACACCACTCGCCGTAACGAAAGATACGCTCGCTCCCGTGCTATGCGCTCTTCTTCATGTCTCGCTAAGCTCTCTTCTTCTTTTTCAATTTTCCGAAGTTTCCCCGATCTTCTCGTTAGACAGACTCCGTGTTCGCTTCCTATTGGTTGTCACGCTGCGCGGTATTGTATTGGAATGCTAAACACCTGTTTCACAGATGTAGAAGAAACGCACGTTTCTTCCATACAGACCGTCCCATGTGATGTAAACTTAAACGCGACGATATCTAAACATTCTTCTAACGTTTGGGCTACCTCTCGCCTTAGTTCGAATTTGAACAGAAAAAATAAATCACATTTTATAGTTTCAATATAGCAACGCCTGCATATGGCGGAAATAGCTCCTCCTTGAATAGGTCCGCTTGTGCTTCACAGTGTGTACGTAACAATAATTTTTCTCAACTGAGCACACATTCTAACCGTTACTTCAAGCCGTAAATATCGAATTATTGAAAATTATGGAAAATATCGACAAACGCGTCGAAATCGCGCGCACAATATGAATAGCGATAAAAAATACAGGCTGAAATATCAGGTTACATCTTCTTGCGACGGTCTTATTTCGAAAATTAGAGACCCGGAGCTTCTCTAAAATTTCACACATACTCGACTTTAGCGCGATCGATAGTCCCGATAACGGCAGCAACATACCTTAGAGGTAATCGAAGGTGGAGAGCTGAATGGGTCGGTGCCTCGTTCCCCGCGGAGGCAAGATTTATTGAGAGCCTGCCCGGCCAAAACCCCGAGCCTTATATGGCAGCAGCGGCAGAACGTATCGTAAAAAATACGTCGCTGCCTCCTCTAATCTTATCGCGACTGGTCTCTCGGTGCAGAAGGTACTATTCTCTTCGGGGGATGATCGGCAAGTGGTTTGTTCCGAAGGCGACTCGCAAAATTTTCCCGACAGTTTTAACATCGACGGCGCTGATAAGGCTTGATAACCGTGATACAATGGTATCCAGCCAATCGATGCCAGGCTTGATATCGGCAAATCCACCGAGATTCCACTTTTTTTTATCGTCAATATCTAACGGAACGTGCTGAGTGATATTGTTTAAGCAATACCCGTCGTTCCATATCACGAGTCCGCGAAATTGATTATCACGTGTTTCTGATTTTTCATAATTGTGAGCTGACGCAGAAAGAGTTTAAGTGAAATTTCGTGTTAATCTGACAACATTCTTTTACCTACCGACGTGTAGTTCCTTTTCTCGCTCTTTTCCTCCTTGAGCTATGACCAGGTATCGAAAGTTGCGCAGTATTAAGCAACTTGACGATTTTAAAAAGCTACAAATCAATTCTTTTGAGCGAAATATTGTTAGTTTCGGTAGTTAGTCGGTAGAGAATACACATGTTATATGATGTATGTACAAACGTATATATTTTTTAACATAACACAATGTACAACAACTGTGATATCGAGTATTCATCGAGATAAACATAAAAGACAAAGAAGAAAGACAGATAAGGACAGATTATATAGTGTTATATAGAATATTATCGACTGTACGAATAAGCGCCGTGAGTCATCATTTGTGAAATATTATTTAAGAATTTGTGAAATATTATTTAACTTCAGTATAGAGATTTTCTTCTTGTCTTATATATGTGTATGCATATAACGTGCAAATATGCGTATTTTCTTATAACGTTGTTTGTAGATCAGTATAACTCTTTTACAAAAACCTGACTGAACATGACGTAAAAGAAAGAGAGTCTATCTTTAACTGTATTGGATTAAATTACAAATTACGTATTGGATTAAATTACAAATTACGTATGTCACGAAAGATTCGAGCGAGTAAATAAATTTGCATTAAGACAGTGGTTACTTCATATAAAGTCGTGAGAATCGTCTATAATCGCGACCTTGTTTATCGTGTGTGCTATTTGTAAAGTCCCCGATTTGTTTTCAAATGGTGAATAAGTATCTTCCACTTAATTTGACTCCGTAATATCCAACTTGTCGAACGTTGAAAGTCGTCATGTTTAAGGCATGCTTACGTCAACAACGCCAACAACACTGACGTGCGATCGGATTTTCGACGATGATGTAAATCAAACGTTAGGATATCGAGTTCTTCAGAATCTTTTCCCTTTCAGTATCCCTCAATTAATATTGAATTTTGCTAAGTAAGGTATAATTAATGAATTAATGAATTTATTTATTTATTTATTTAAAATGTAAGAATTAGCTATAGGATAGGATAACAGATAAAACAGGATAACTCATGATGGTAAAAGAAATAGTAGTGCACTGAAATGTACTGAAATGCTAAATTAATTTTTAGTTATATATGCAGAATAGAATGGGGAAAGGAAATGAGGGTGAGAAAGAATGGACGGATGAATGAGAATAAGGTGTTATGCTCATCAGGTAAACCAAGTCTCTTTTTAGCTGTGAATTAGCTGAAAACTAAATATATATCTATGTACTAAATATACCATATATATATAATATATTTATATATTATATATATTATATTATATATATATAATATAATATAAATATAATATATATAATATAAATATATTATATATATTATATATATATAATATATTTATATAATACTGAATTTCGCTAATGTGATTGATTTTTCGCGAGCGACTCCGGTACGCACGACCGTTCGTGAGTTTAGATTATCGTGTGCTAGATAGCTCTATCTGTTTGGCGAGATCGTGTTGTATGTGAGAGATATGATTAACGGAGTTACGTAAGAAATGGTCGACAATATGCACTCGATTCGAGTAAAGTGATAAAAAGTATAATGTGTTCGTAAAATATAGACGATTGCACCTCAACAGTTTTTCTTTCCTTGTAAACAATCTGTGTAGCAAGTTCTACGTTTTTTGTTCCGACAATTTGACGAACCGTTTTACTGCTTGATCGCATTTCAAGACCATCGGTCTGCAAAACTTCATTGAGCCCTTCGTCCGTGTATCCAAGTTTCTCAAAATTCTTGATCGTTCTGGGATGAAGTTGTGTACCGTCCATTGTAGCAAGTAAGTATGTGGAAAGTGTCAGGGTGCAGCGAAATATAGTAACAAGTACTATTTCGATAGTTATATTGATAAATATTGATAGTTGGATTCGAAAATATGAAGCTGCAGTTGGAAAAATTGATACGGCAATTTTTTATTTGTACTAGGTCTATTGGAGCATTGCTTGTTGCTCGTTGATCCCTACAGTGACCAGTTCTCTTTCTCACACACCCACACACATATACACACACTTGGAATTTGCATTTTACGTGATTTGCATTGAATGTGACTTATGCTGATCGATGAATCACTCGATGTGCGTATGCATGCGGAAGCGAGTTGAGTCATATGAATCTATTTGTAAAAATTAATTACGTTCATCGAAATATCGAACAAGACAAAGCGTATAATAATTCTTCTTTTTTAAATTCGAAATAGTAACTCGGCAATCTCTTGATGATTTTTGCATAGTCGGTATCCACTTTATTTGTTGTTGATCGTTCGATTTTGAGATCACAGATGAACGACTGGTTAACCTGGCCTTGGTTTCGTTCGGACAAGAGTCTAACAAGAGTCTACATATTTGTTGTATATTTAAGGCAATATAGCGACAACAAACATCTGCAAGAAGAACACATGGGGATATTTCAAGCATAAAATAACTGACGCGACATCGATAATTTAGAAAAATATTGAACATTGGTATCGGCACAACTCACAGATTATCGAAGTGATGAAATTAAGAAACGTCGTTATCTACGTTTTACAATTGTTCACAAGTTATACGAAACGTTTGAGGTAAGAATTTAATCTTTAGATTAAGAAATTATCGCTAAAAGTTCTGTTTGTTACTGCAGACACAATATCAGATTAATATAACTATCAACTATTAACAATCTATTTTCAGCAGAGCGGTCAAAGTGATAGGATTTTCAGAGGAACGTAATAAGAAGAAAAAAGTCGTTTATTTTTTTCCTTAATTTTCCTTAATTTCAATGCCAATTGAAAGTATAAAGTGCACCGTTATAAATTGTAGTGTACTTTATAAAAAAAAAAATTATTATATAAACCGATCATTTCGATTACTTTTTTAATTTTAATTCGAGGAATCCCGATCGTTGATATTTTCACATTTTGATTTCCCGGCTTTTTCGTTTTTCTTCCCAACGTTAGATCAGACGCTTCATGCGCGGTTGGCCGATGCTAGTTGCCAGTTGATGACGGTGTTGAGGTTTTAGGCGCAACTTGCTGGGATTTGCATGTAATTGCCGCAGGCTACATGTCTTGCCTCTAGGCTGTGTCGAGGTTTACCTACGTTCTATACACCTTGATATTGGAAGCCTAAGCGATGCTCTAAGTTTGGTCGTAGGACTGCACATGAGTTCCTTACAAACCTGTTACGAGGAGTTTGCGGAGAAGAATAATCTCGCATATAAATATTATCCGTCAAGATTTAAAGCACCACCGTATTATCTATACGTTATTAAGGAAAGATTATCCCAACAGTGAGGTTATGCACGGCATCTCGATAAATCCGTCCGATATAAACGGAAGTTACAAAATTATCACGGACATATCGCTTCGTTTTAGTCATAAATAAATAATGTGTGTGCGATCCCCACAAGACGACGAAGCGAACAACTTGCGATTACTTATCGTTGCCTCCTCGTTTCGTCGATGTATCTTTTAATTCAGTGAGACTTTTCGGAATCGCCGAAGATATGTGTGACGATCTCCTTGATGCTGCGATAAGAAGCTCGGTAGTAGAGTGTTTCAATCGTAAGTAGTACAGGCATACCGTAGACCGTGGCGAATGGAGAGCTATATGTATAATTGAAAAGCTGACACGGCGGACGACTTGAAGGAAGTTGCAGTCGTGATTGGCCTGCATAATGAAGAAGCCTGAACGCCATTATACTTGGTGGCGAGCTCAAAGTTCTATGCATCTACCAGGTGGGTGCCATCTTCGTGACAGTTTTGAAATATTGCCCCGCTAACAAGCAATCCCCAAACTTGGTAAGTTCGTTTGGATTGTCACGGTCTTTGCGCGAATAAAACGGCGAACCGAATGTGTGTGACCGCGCGCGCGCACACGCAATTTTCTCCGTCATTGCAAAGTTGTCACGCGGTAGTCGTGACACTTTGAAATTACATTTCGATGTTCGCTGCGCGAACGCGTAATCTCGTCTGTTTGCGGTAGCGAGAGTACAATTGCCTTGAGTCAATATACTGGATAAGAGGAATGTGCGTGTGACATTTAAATATTTAAGATCAGTACATGTAACGCCGGATTAATATATTTCAGCAATTATTGACGAACGCATTTGACCAGAAATAGCTAATCGCAACTCCAAGCGTTATTTCAAGCGGTATGGTAAGTTCGATAAAAAAGGTCTGTCAACACTCAAAGAACGTACTTGGAATAAAATTTAGCTACAAACTGTAGACAATATCAGTTCTTTCTCTTCCCCCTTTCTCTCTCTCTCTCTCTTTTTCTCTTTCTCTCTCTCTCTCTCTCTCTTGCGTGCTGAGAAAACTTGATGACTGTAATTTCTATAAGAACTCGGAATTAAATAATCTTCCAGATAATATTTGATAATCTTGTCTCGATACGTCGTCATCATTTGATAAGAAATGTCATTCGTTCTTATCGAACGCTTCGCGAAATATAAATCGCTATAACAATACCTTGAACGAAAGATACAGTGTTCTGCGAATTGTTATCTTCCAATTGTGCGTGTCCTAAGTCCATTAATATTATTTGAATGCCTTTCGATTTATATGCTGATAAGTCGAAATATATTTGCCCCTTTAAATTACTTATTTACTTTAAAAAAATAATAAATCGAATATTTGAAAATATCTATATTTCCTGTTTACCTCAAAGAGATTAAGATCTAGCAAGCGGATTACATTTCGTAGAAGAAGATGTAGAAATGGTATTGGCAAGTAAAATAGCGATTTTTTTCAATCTTTTCATCAACTTAACGGTATAATTAATTCATGGAAACGAATTTTATCTTAAAATTGTCGTTGATTTTTATCGCAATAGGCTGGATAAGACGCGGAAAAATGGAAAAAAATTAAAGGAATAATCAATACGTAGTATTTGGGAACACAGAAATCGTAATATCATGCGATGTTCGACGTGTACAATTACAAATAAAAAATAATTAATCTTGTTATCTGTTGTATCTGTAATTAATGTTTCATTCGACATTTGTAGGAAATACCGTACGTATGTTATAATAGCCGGTAATAGTTAGATTAGACACAAATCAGATTAGGTTAGACAGATTGAAATTGATTAGATCGAATCCAATTAGACTATTAAATTAGACAGTCAGATATGAATGACTCGATTTTATATCCAGTTCCATCTCTGAACAAAATCGAGAGAAATACTTATTAAAGTTTCTCTTGCTTCTCTTGCTTCATCTCTGTTTCGTCTCTGAGAGTGCACGCGCATGTTATTCACGCGTGAGGGAAGTGCAAACGTGCGCCGTGCAAATAAAATTACGTTTGCTCGATCGTTTTCGACTTGCCATTCAAAAGTGCGCCGGTTCAAAGGAACAATTTGTTTGTCTAAAACATTTGTTTGTCCTCTGCAGCCCCAAACCTCGGGCGAGATATTTATCGACGTGTTCCGCAACGTAGATTTTGCACTTTACTGTGCAACCGAATTAAAAACTGCACTGGTAAATACAAACGTAAGGACGAAATTCACGAATATTTTGCCTGCCCGGCTCTTATTTATTCGCTGTTCTGTCTGTCTGACATATTATTCGTGATATAAGAAAAATCTTTATTGAATTGCCGCTTTAATGAGTCGCGAGCAATCGCGAGCATATTATATTATTAAACTTATTGTTATTATTCTCTCCTAATAACATTTGTTAACATTCCTGAAAATATTAACGAATACACAATACGGTTAAGCGAGGTGCATAATTTTTTTCGACCTGTTCTTTAACCCATTTGCATCACAGCTCTAAATACGCAACTAATTTCAGAAATCTGAAACGTTCAACTGACAGTCGGCCTGTATCATCGCGCATTAACGCACATCATTGACGAAGAGTGAACGTCGTCGTGAACGTATTGTTCCGCGGTTGCTGATAAGTGAACGTCGTGGCTCGCGGAACATTCCGCGGCTGGTAATAAGTGACGATCATTATGCGCGGATTATTCCGCTTGCGAATGCAAATGGGTTAAAAGAATGGAGAAACGAAGTGAAAATCCTTGCTGCGTCTTTATCTGCGGATCTCATCATCGTTCTCTTGATGATCCTCTTCAGCGGCATCCTGAGATGCAACATGCGAGCTATCTTCGAACAGCAGCTATCTTCGACGCGTGCATCATCCCAGCATTTGCTTGCAACTGACGATTGACGATCATTCACGATGAACAACCTGATATCGAGAGACGCCTTCGGGCCGTTGACTCCGTATAACCGGAGACTCGTTAAAATCGACAATGTGCGTCCTGTTCTGCATTATCTCGCGCGATATCCGACTCCGTCGTAAAAATTACGACAGTCAAGAGCTCTTAGGTGAGCCTGCTAAAGTCAGAGAGTTTCGAGAGAGCACGACCATACGTTTCCTGTGGTTCGCACAATGTACAAGACAGGCAAATTTTTCATAAATACTAACGATCGTTTCTCCCAGCGAGAAATTAAGTGGAAAATTACACGTGTCGCGTATCTTCCCGTTGTACTAATAACAGAGCGAGTTGATATTACGCTTTTATAAATATCCCCCTTCATAATTTAACTGCCGTTGCAGCAGCTCTGCATCATCGGGGGTAGCTTACTCTCTGAAACACGTAAAGTTCCGCGGAAGCTGGCGCGGCGCGAATTTATCGTCACGGCTAAATCCGAGCGTGGATTAATTCGTCGGGATTCTGTTATAAAAAAGTTTTGTTTCAATATTAAGGTGAACATGCGATTAGTTGTTCGCTGTCGAACACACAAACATACATACATCTCCGGTTGTTGCGTATATGGCGTTATGCGTATAGAGCTACAATTAATTATCTTTAACGCAAAGCTCAACCTTTGACACCAGACACCTGAAACGTATCACGATGCTGTTTTTCTCTTTTCCTTCTACCCGATCTGTTTTTATATGCTTTTATATGCGCGCGATCCTACGAGATAGACGTGTAACAAGATGAGAACATTTCGCTGTGGTATTCCGTCGCATTCGGAACAACTACTCGTAAAGTGACCAATTACTCAGCATCAGCTTTCGATTGGGGCTCGCTCGCTCGCTCGCTCGCGGAAGCTCTCCTCGAGTCTTCCTCTGTCGTGAAATTGAATCAAGACTCGCAGAGTGGCAGAGAGACGACGACGGCCGAGAGACGTGCTCGGACGAGAAGGAAGCGGCGAAATAAAAAGTCGAGTATTTAGTCGGGACCTAATTCAGTCAAGCCAACGAAGGCGAGTTTTGCTCCGGGGCCTTTGCAAACTGCCTCCTACACCGCCTGCTTGCTTGCTTCAGCAACATCGATGGCGGAAGCACGGTAATTCGATTACCGGACCGTTTGAAAGCCTCTCTCTCTCTCGCCCTTTCTCTCTCTCTCTCTCTCTCTCTCTCTCTCTCTCTCTCTCTCTCTTCTCCAGAAATACTGATGTGGCTCACCTTCTATTCGTGACATACACATGTGGTTATCATGCAACGTGAATGAGATTTGAGGAGACTATGTTATCCGTTCATAGGTTGTTTAAGTATGATCGTTAACGTCGTTGATAATTTTTACTTTTCGAAAAAAGAGAGTTTACGTTTTATTACGGAAAATGTGGATATTTAAAAAAGAAGGAGGCGGAACGTATAAATATTTTGTTATGATGAACAGGGGGAGAGAGAGAGAGAAAGAGAGAGAGAGAGAGAGAGAGAGAGACTGAGTGTGTGTGTGTATGTGTGTGTCTGCTAATTACGTGGGAAAATTTTACATTTACTAATCAGTATGGAATATAAAGGATGCAAGTACGCG